ATATATATATATATATATATATATATATATATATATATATATAATTTTGCATAGATGCCAGTTAATTCAGTTTTAAACAACAAAATCATACATACTGCCGAAAACGTGCTTATTTTTATCGCATAATCATAACGGTATACTATTTATTAATATATTTATTTGGTCCATCGAACAATAAAAGATGATTTTAAGGAGCTAACGCCAAATTGAAGCCCTGGAAGCATGACGAGGTCTACAAAGAATCTCCCCAACTTGGATAGATTAAGGATATGGTAGGTTCAATAAGAAAGCTCTGTTTGGCATGCTTGACCAAGTATCACTTTTATGGGTTCAATACTCAATTGATTCTTTTAAGCTTAAAAATTCATCTTAAAAAAAAATAATAATCATTTTTTGCTCAGCACTCGATTCTTCAAACAACGATAACTTTAACCAAGCATTGCTTTAACCCTTCAAAATTTGCCTTGTCAGTTCTGGAGAAAAAAAACTTTCAGCTGCATCTGCATCATTTAAGCTTCTACAAAATGCAGTATTTCCTATTGACCAAAATCATGCTACAATCTTGCTCAAAAAAAGATAGTGAATTAGGTAGACACAACATACTAAATATTCATATGAGGAGAAGTAAATCGGTAATTAGAAATTGATTAAAAGAAACACACCATGGATGGCCTACCAAAGAACGAAAGCAAAAAACAACGAGGAACGAGTTAGAAGGCATCTTTTCAGTAATTCAAAACAAGATGGATAAATACCTCAGTCAATCCAGACATGGAAAATGGTTAATAGTAGTTTACTCTATCCGAAACATAAAATTTGAATCCTGATATGAATTATAGGATTGCAATTTCACTACAGAAACTTAGAAGTTTCCAGTCATCAATGGCATTACATATACAGGTAAAATCAGCTAATATAGATCATACACTGGGACAAGAGGTCATGAGATTTCACAACAAAGAGCATGTAGACATCAATTGTCGAGACTAAAATACAAACAGGAAGAGCTCAAGAGCAAAAAGGATGGAAAGTCTTGATCGAACAATAAACCTAATAGGGCAATTACCATCTTCGGTGGTTTAAGCAACTCCTTGCCAACAGCTTCAATATTTCAGACTTTGCAAGGAAACTGACACCAGTCCCTAAGCAGCACCTGAACTGGACAGTAAACCAACACAAAACTGTCAGAAACAAAAAGGGGAAACAAAATATAAGGCAACAGGAATGATCTAGCATTACAGAACATGACTTGCATGCAAGTGCAGGACCACAAATAGGGTGACTAAATATCTGGTAAACTACTAGCCACCAACACAATCGAGTGAAGCTGGAAAAACCTAGTCAATCAACTTAAAGGATGCTCGAATGATGATACTAAAGGTCAGTTTTAGGCCAATGATCATAGACAGGGTTGTCTAATCAAATGTCAACACCTTGTGCCATTATACTGCTAGAAAACCTTAACTTATGCCTCACATTTGCAGGATAAAGGAAGTAGAGAGAAAGTCCAACAGTTTTTTTTAATGAATAAGAGAATGTCCAACAATTCTAAACTAAGAGATCCCATACCAAAGAAATATGAAAAAGAAAAGAAGAGAAACCCCCATATTTGATAATTTCATGCCTAAAGGATAACTTATATGCAAAGAGCTAAATGTTATATAACACCTCGTATGCAAAGCCATATAAGCTGGATTTGGCAAACCACCGTTGTTTCCTAGTTATCAGTATTTCCTCAACAAAAATAAATAAAATAACTTCAATCAGCACTAAAATGAGGTGGAAGCTTCAGATGAGAAGACCAGGACTTACAAGTCATTTCCTTTTGTGTAGAGAAAAATCAAGTTCAATTGCCATCTGTGGAAATTGCAGCTCTTCTACCCTGTATTGTGGCACTTCCTGGCATTTTGGGAGGTGGTGATGATAAATACCTGAGCTGATAGCTAACAAATGCAGATCCAAAGATGCTAAACTTCCCAGCACTACTACAAGCCACTTCTGCATCAGCACGCCTCTTAAAGACCACCTTTGCAGAATTTGTTTCCTTTAAGACCTCAGTTTCTAATTCCTTCAAAGGTCCAAAACGTTTAAATATCTTATTCAGATTCATTTCTGAAGGGACAGAATCAACCTCAGCAAAGTTCAGTATTAATGCTGTTGGGGAGAATTCTTCCTCATACTTCACCTCCACAATTCCTACTGGCTTCTCCATTGCCAATTCATAAAAGCCATCAGAGTTCTGTTGTTTAGGGTCCAATATGGGGCTCAACTGAAGAGAACTTTCTGATTCAGCAATTAACATGTCATTCTTTGTGAGGCTTTCAAGCTGAGTTTCTCCTTTTCTCCTTCGGCCCTTCTTTGATAGCTGCTCCTCAGAACTGATATGAACAATCCTGTCAGTCCAATATGAGTCTTTGACATCTTCGTCAAAATCAAATGCTTCAGCAGAATCAGCATCAGAGGTAGGTGGTTCTTTATTTACATCTTCTGTTTTACCACTATTCACTTTCTCCAAGGATTTCTTGTGTTTTCCTGACCCACGCTTATAAACGATTATTGAATTCCTATAATCTGAAAAGAAACTAAGTATTACAGTCAGAAAACTGTATCCTTTTATGGGATCTCGTGCAGCCAAGCAAAGCTGGGATAGCATCTCACCTGGAGAAGAGCATTCTGTCATTCCACCCTTTTTGGACACTTCATGAGTATGAGAGACATCAGTACCAATTCCTTCAGATTTCTCACTGTTTCGACCTACTTTAGCTGCACTTTTCCTAAGACTTTGACTGCTACACTTGAGGATCGGCGGCGACCCAGTCAATTTGCTTGCTACTCTACGGATGCAGTCCCCAACCTTAAAAGACTGCTTATGATTTGGGGTTTCAGCATCAGCAGCTCCTGGTGAGGAAAGATTTCTTTTCCCATTCTCTACCTTTGAATCCTCAGGAATAGAGTCAGACTTACGTTTCTTGCCAGAAGACAATACCTTAGAAGCAGACTTCCTATCAGACTCATCACCATTTACAACATTTGAAGAAGCCTCCTTCTCATCCATCAACTCCGACAAGCTTCGTTCTTTTTTCCTCGGATATGAGCTTTCCTGTGAAATGCTCCTGCGTTTACGAGAAGAGCTACCTCGACCTGACAACTTTCCTTTTCCAGAAGGCACATTCTCTTGATCGTTCAAATTAACTGGGGTCAAATGCTGAGCTACTTCTTCAGAATAATTTCTCTCCTCTGCAAGCAATAATTCTGTGTCGTTCTCCAACAACCTTCCACAGAACTGGAACTCAGGCAACCTGGTATAACCCTTTAAACGACATAGAGCTAATAATTGAGCCTTAGCTATCACAAGTTCCAGTCTATCAGTTCCACCAGATGGACTACGTGCTAATGCTCTGATATACTCCACAAGTTTCTGAGATTGAAAGGAGCTCACACTCAGAGATCTGTCCACACCATCTCTTTTACTTGACTCTTCCCGTATTCCAGCATTTTCAATAATTTGTGATTTGATCTTTGTGTATACTTCTTCCGATGTGCAGGAACAAGACATCCCCAACTCCACCCGTCTGGAAACCTCATCCAAAGCAGAGTTGACTGCAGTACGGAATGCCACTGAATTGTTCTGCTTCTCCATCTCTGAGAAATGTGTGCCAAAGTGCTTCAACAATGATGCTTCATTCCAAGCAAAAGTTTGGTCCCCAAAATATGCTACAAGAAAGCTATCCTTTTTGCGATATTTCAGTGCTTTCTCTGATGAATCTGAAGAATCAAATATCTGTCCAGGCCACCAGGGATGACTCTTCACTTTGCCCCAAACCAAGTTAGAAACAGCAAAAACACTGTCTTCCTCTAGTGGCAAGTCATAAGCAGTACAGTTATCCTCATCGGAGGTGTTTCCATGATTTAAACCTTCCTTATTTGGAGCAGCCTCCTCCATTTTTTCCTGCTGTTCAACACATGTACCTTGTCCAGCAATCTCTATTTTCTTATTCTCATCCTGGTTACCAGAACAACCAACTGCTTGAGTCTCAACTTCCACTTCCATTGCATGATTTTCCACTGCATGAGTTTCCTGCTCCGATAAAGGTGGGCAAACACTTTGGTCTTCATGAGTAGAACTGCAAACACTAGCTACCCCAGCCTCTGCCCCCAGGCTCCCCTCAGGTAAAGGTTCAATAACTTGATCGAAATCAGCTTCAACCTTATCATGCAGTGAAGCGTCAGAAATTGCAAAAACACTATCTTCTTCTGGTGGCAAGTCATAAGCAGTGTGGCTATCTTCGATGGAGATGCTTTCATGATTTAAACCTTCCTGATTTGGAGCAGTCACCTCCATTTTTTCCTGCTGTTCAGCACCTGTACCTTGTCCAGCAATATCTATTTTCTCATTTTCAACCTGGCTACCAGAACAACCAACTGCTTGAGTCTCAACTTCCACTTCCATTGCCTGATTTTCCAGTACATGTCCCTGATCAGAGAAATGTGGGCACACACTTTGATCTTCATAAGTGGAACCACAAATATCAGCTACCCTAGCCTCAGACTCCTGGTTCCCCTCTGACAAAGGTTCACCAGGTTCAGTAACCTGATCAAAATCAGTTTCCACTTTATCAGGAAGTGAAGCATCAGAAACAGCAAAAACACTGTCTTCTTCTGGTGGCAAGTCATGAGAATTACAGTAATCCTCAAAGGAGGCATTTCCATGATTTAAACCTTCCTGATTTGGAGCAGTCTTCTCCATTTTTTCCTGCTGTTCAACACCTGTACTTTGTCTAGCAATCTCCACATTTTGATTTTCAACCTGGTTACCAGAACAAATTACTGCTTGAGTCTCAACTTCCACTTCCATTGCTTGATTTTCCACCACATGAGTTCCCTGCTCAGATAAAGGTGGGCAAACAGTTTGGTCTTCATGACTAAAATCGCGAGCATCAGCTACCCCGGCCTCTGCCTCCAGGTTCCCCTCTGGCAAAGGTTCAGCAGGTTCAGTAAATTGGTCAAAATCAGCTTCAGCCGTATCATGCAGTGAAGCATCTGAAATTGCTGCTTGAGATCCACCAACCTCGGGAAATCTGTTTGGAGCAGCTTGACCAACCGTATCTTGTATATGGTCTTGCATAGAACTACTCTCTTTGCAATTACCCGGGCTCCCCCCAGTAAGAGCTCTATTATCATCAGCACTCATAAAGGATTGAACACTTACCAAAGGATCTGCATCTCCAGCAATCTTTTCTTCTCTGCATCCCTCAACCTCCAAGCTCGGATTTCTCCCCAGGTCATTGTCTTTGGGTTCTAAATAGTCTGGATTTTGGACTACTGCCTCTGCCCCTCCATCCACGACCTGGATTTGTTCAACAGTTGATTCCATCTTTCCCACTTCAGCATCAGAAGCACAACAGTTACCATCTTCTTCTTGGTAACTGTTGATTCCATCTTTCCCACTACTGCCTCTGCCTGCAGTTACAGTTTTCATTTCTCTCTCCACATCCTCCTTGACCGAACCAGCATTTCCCACCTCTTCATTCGAATTACCATCTACTCCATGGATGACCTTCCCATCAACATAAACGTCAGAACCAAGGGTCAATGATTGCGCATTCCCTCCTTCACCACAAACCCCATGCCCGTTGAATTCTCCTTCACTGGGTGAGTCCTCGACAGGAACATGACCATCCGAGGGCTCCTCTGCTAGGGTTTCAACTTGGATTTCTTGAACAGTTGTTTCGGTTATAGTCTCCTTGAGCAAAACAACAGGAGGTGCTGCCTCTTTCACATCTTCTTCCGCCCCATGAGAGTTCGTTCCCTCGGGATGAATCTCAGAAGCTCGAAGCAATGGCTCTACCAGATTCTCTCCTTCCCCACGAGCTCCAAGCTCGTCACTTTCTCCTTCGGGGGGAGGATCTCCGGTCTGCCCATCACCTTTTGAGTGATCTTCCGTTAGGGTTTCAATCACGGAGGCACTGACAGTGACTGTAGATTCCGTAACCCTAATGCTAGAACTCTTGTCCTGCTCTTCGAGCTGGGCTGCGTCGGAGTTAAGGTCGAGGTTCTCGGAAGGGTCTTCATTCGTGGTAGGGTTACCGGACATGGCGAAACCCTAATGATAGTAACAATAATTATAAAAACAAATCGTTTAGAAGCAGAAGCCCTAACAACAAATCCGTTGAAGATAAAAACCCTAAATTTACACACAGCGAACTGACTACTGAGAGAGGGTTAGAGCGAGAGACATACCTGGCTGGGATCGCGGAGCTTGCGCCTGAGACGAATCTTGAAAGTTTAATTTGGTTGACGAGGGAGAAAAGTAGGAAGTAGAAATGAATTGAAGATTAGAGACTACTTTCGAAAGTTCGAAAGTTTCGGATTAAATTTTCCATAAATAAATCGGAGATGATTTTTGGAGTAGAGATCTCATAAATAAAGATATAACCGTGTATTCTTGTATTTACCAAAAAAAAATTAAAGAGGAACGCTAGTAAGTCATAAACAACGACTTTGTGCAACTCTTTCGTTCATCTCCTTTGTGTGGATAGGGGAATTAGGCTGACGTGGACTGAAGGCACCAATGATTAGATGGCACACGATGAATTGGGATCTGTTATTCATAGAAAGCGCTCCTTACGATTACATCCCACCGTTTATTAAGAACATCTCACATTAATAATAAACATGCTGTAGGGTCGACGTGAGGAATGCTGTGAGGAACAGATCCAGATTCCGTACAATGATCACATTGAAAAATATTAGATTAAAACAACTTGGAAAACATAAAACAACTTTTGATGCAGTTGTTAGAATATTTATTTAGTGCTCATTAAATCTACTTGCAACGTTGTATTTGTATCTACTAGATCCGGATTCTATTTAAGTTGTATTTGGCATTCTTTATTTTTAAGGATTTATCTCTTTCTTGTCGTTCAAAGGAACATTTTAACAGAAAAACGAAGATAAGTCCTTAAAAAAGCCAAATGCAGCCTTAGACAATTGAAATTTGCCATGGCATCCTTATAATTCTTGTGAGTTTGCTTCATTACCACGTATATAATCACATATGGAGTATTTGGATTGCGATTGAAGGTGGAGAAGGGCAACATTAGTGAATTTTTTTGAGTGGTGTTTGGTATGTTGCTTGAAGCAATATTTTTAAATTTGCAAATTATTTACTCTGGTTTAAGAAACCTAGGTGCAACATAGGCTGCATTTGGAAACAATGCAAATAGGTGTGAATGCAAATATGTAGAGTATAAAATGGCTCATATAAGTTGTAAAGTTGGGTTAATTTTGCATTGACAAATTTATCTTCCTAGCAAACAGATTTTTAGTTGTAATGGATGCAAACATAAATTCTAATAAAGCATATGCTTTTTTTATCAAAAGTCCACTTGAATGCAAACTTACTTCTTTTTTATTGATTTACTTTACATTCTTATTATCAATGTAAATATGCATTGGTCTGTCATTTATCAATGTATAAATGTAATGTTATCAAACACAGGCGAAAAATGAACCAGAGTGCAAATTTACCCTGAACCGGGATTTACACTCCATTTGCAATATTTCCAACTGCAGCCATACGGACAAAAGAGGTGAAAACACCTCAAAGATCAAGAAACCTTATAAAGAAATATAACTACTTCTACTTGAATTAGTCTAATCAAATAAGAAGTTGCTCAAAATACTTGCATGTTACTGACATGGCAGTTTTTTTTTTTTGAGAAAACAATCGCATTACCAAACACTAATTGGGGATTCAATTTGATGAGGGGTACTTTGGCAGGTCGCGCATCATCACAATTTTTTAATTTGGGGTGTGCTTCATTTATTAAAAAATAACTAGGGTTGTGGTTGGTTGGTGGGTTATTTTGCTATTTTTGATGTTTAAAAACAAGAATATGTTTTGTGCTACAAAACTATAAATAAATAAAAAATTGGGTTAGATCTGGAAAATTCTAAAAAAATGCTTTTATTCTTCTATGAAATCTGTTTTTTCTACATAACTATCGATACATGCTTATATGGATGATAAAAACAACTATAGTAAAATAATATCTTTTTCTCAATTTTCACTTAAAAATTTTTTGAAAAAAAAAACCAAAGTAGGAAATTGTTTTTTGTAACCTGGCTCTTGGAAAACAAACACATACTGAATGCCACCTAAAAGACTAAGGTGTGCATTTGATAAAACTGAAGTATAAAATCCAAAAACCAGAAAAAAAAAACTCTTTTTTATAGATCTGATTTTTAAAAACAGTAAATGTGATTTTTTTTCTTTTTCAGGGCCCCTGTAATATTTAAATCACTTTTTTGGAGGTATGTTTCAAGCATCAATACAACGAAATCCAACCTCTGAAAAAGATTCTCAGATATCAAACCCGGTTTCAATTGTATCAAATATCACTTTTTTTAAAAGAAACACAAATGTACTACACAACAGGGATAGGGTCTAGATCAGGTTCCAACAAAGCGTCACAACAAGTGTCCAACGAGGCATTGCATCCGTACATTAAGAACATCTCACCATAAATGATAATGGAGATGCTCCTAATGTGCGGCTGTAGTGGCATGTTGGGACAAAATCCAAACTCATAAAACTAACCAAAATTGTATTATTGTCCAAAATATCCACAATTACATTTTTCTTTCGATGTCATACTGTGGGTTTTAAGAGAGTATTGGGTTCACAACTTCTTTTTCATTTCCAACCAAGTTATTGCTCTGGTGTACACAGTTGGAAAAGAGAATAAGTCTGTTTGGTAAGAAAGAAAATTTGTTAGTGCAAAACTAACCTAATTTTTATATGAACCGTTTTATACTACATATTTGCATTTACATTTATTTGTATCTTTTTCAAACACAGCCAATGGAAAAAAAAAAAGATATATGAAGAAGTAAGGATGAAATTGTCTCGTTTCAAAGACATTAGGACAAGTGAATAAATATTTGGATATTACTTTTTGAGTGTGGCTGTATGGGGTGGCGTTTCCCTTGAGTTAAAATTGCCTAATTACCTATATATCTTCATTTATACTATATAAAGGGGGATTATTTGTATTGGTTTTGGTGCAGTTCATAAGGCTGTGTTTGGAATCAGTGCATTGATGACGTTTTACACTGAACCACCATTAAAGACTGTTGTGTTTTTGAAAGACATGATGCAATCAGTATAAAGTTTTACATTGATTCTATCAATGTAGTATTTACATCGATAATTGATGTAAAACTTTACATATGATGAGGTTTTGCATTGATTCACAACGTAAAACTATACTCCACCCAAATGCATATAAAACTGAACCGGAGTGGAGTTTTACGTCGATCATTATTACACTCTTTCCAAATGCAGACAAAAATTGGACTAATATAAATGTTTACATCATTCTTGATTTACACCGACTTCAAGCGCAGCCTAAAAGTTAAATCTAAGTATTATATCATGTACCATTCATACTTATTTGCATATGTACATAGTGCATGCTATTATACTAGCTTTTAAAACAAAAAAAACCAAAACCAAATGATGTATGATTTTGATTATGTCTGAAACCATATATTTTACCACATTAAAGCTTTAACACATTGCTTATATGCTTAGAACCATTGATTTAATCATGGATAGACATGTTCATGGGTTGGGCTCGAGCTTAGCTTTTGCCAAAATTTAAATGAGACCCAGCCCAAAGTCCAAATTCAACACAGTATAGATCAGGCCCAAAGCCTGGCCCGTGAACAGGTCTAATCATGGATGCCACTTTGAAGATCCAGATTTTTATTTACTTTGGTAATCAATTGAATGGATGAGATTAATTCATTGATCTAGGAGATCAATTTAATGACCGTGATTTCTAGGTTTCTTTGGTACATTATTTGAATGGGAGACCACTTTAATCCATTGATCTAGTAAGGCATGTTGAAATTAATCCTTTGATTTTGGGAGACCACTTTAATAGTTTAAATATATTAATTTTACACCTCATTTGAATGGAATAATTAGTTGAAATCAAAATGCATAATTTGTATGGCTGAGATTAATTCACTGATCTTGTGAAGCCATTAATGGTCCCAATCTTTTATTTATTTTGTACATCATTTTATTTAAGTTAGATTACAAAAAATGAAAAAAGAAACAAGTTACGACTTTTTTTTTCAAAAATGCAGTTACGGCTTTATAGAACAGCCAATATTCTTGAATCTTGGCAGATAACTTTTATGCCCTAGGTTTTTTGAGTTTATTTGATAAATTGCTTAGAGTCTTTAGACAGCCTATATTAGCTGAAATTTCGGTACATCAGTTGATGGTTGAGATTAGTTCAAGGGACCACTTTGATGGCCTAGAACTTTTGGTTGATTTGAAGATTTTATATGGGTGGGCCAGATTAGATGAAATCTGGGTATATCATTTGGATGGTTGGAATTAAACTGATCTTAGGATACCATTTTGATGATTGAGATTAATAATGGCCTAGATCTTCGGGTTAGTTTCATATATCATTTGTATAGCTTGTATTTTTTTCAAATTTCTATAAATTGATACATCACATACTATTCCACTTGGTAAGGTACCAACCAGCTGGTTGGTAAGGTCTCCTAGTAGTCGTAAGCTCGTAGCAATGACTTGGGACAGAATCCTGTCTATACCTGGGTTGTGGGGTTTATGGATTGGAGGTAGGGTTGGGGGATGGGCTACCCCCAAATCTATAACCTATGTTCCTTTTTCAGATTTATGTAGAATTCATGAAAAAATTATTCTCCTTCCCTGCATATCACTTACTGACCCATCTCCAAAGTGGGTAAATAACTTTCCTACCTTGGGAGGAGGGGAGGGGTAGGGGGGAGTTTATAATTGTCCTTTCTAATAACGACTTTTTACTGCTAAAACGGTCATTCTCTTATTTATTTGGAAAATAAAAGAGTATGGATAAGTAACTTCCCAAAAAGAGAGGAAGGCCTTAGTGATATTGAATGGGTATAAATGGGTAAAGAGCAAAATTAGCTTTTGAAATAAAACAGCGGCATTTTTAAGGATTTCAAAAATGTGTGACAACACACGTGACACAAATACAAGCATGTTATATCAACTCCCTTGACAAAATGCGAGTGGATGAGGCCATTCCTTATGACAGGAAAGCATGGTTTTCAAATCATTATTGGCCCGAATGGTCAGACCATTTGATCCAAATTTTGTCAAAAAACCATTGACTTGATCAATATTTCACTGATTCAAACAGTTGAACAGTTGGCTCATTTGACCCAGACAATGGTTTTTGGCATTTTTATTTTTTAAATTGCAACTGACTATTTGTTTGGACTATATGATTAAACCGCTGACTCGGAAACCACTGGCCAAGCCGCTAGGTGTCATACCCTCCAACTCCAAGTATAGGGGTCAACATAATTACCCTATTTTTAAGAAATTATGCTAAGATAAGCCATTTTAATTGTTTACAAAGAGAGGCATGGATCAAACCTGTGTAAGTATAGACTCTCCCTGGTAAGGTTAATGAACTGTGGATGAGTGGATGTCACATTAAATAGCTATGTTTAATGACTCGAGGTAGGTTATTTCTACATATGTAGCACTTGGATTTGCATGTGGCAGGGCACGAGGAAATTTCATGTTTCAACATGCGTTTATGGGCGATGGATCAAGGATTCAGTTTTGGAAGGATGCCTGGACTGATAGGTCGAAGAATACACCCACCGCTCTGATGTCTAAAGATGAAAAGAACCTATACCTAACTCATTAAGCCCTCTACTGGTGGTGGAAGGAAGTTCAGGAGGACGTTGGTTTCACAATTAAGACTTTCTAATAATCTTTGACAAGGAATCAAGTAATAACGTCTCAGGTGAGGAAAGTATGGGCTAATCCTGTATTCCTGTTCCTCTTCCTACGGAGGTGGAAACTTCTGTTTGAATCATTTCTTTGGACAGTATCCCAATTCTTTTTGAGCCTTAACCACTTGAAGATGTTTGTCCTCTTTTTATGTTAGGGTGCCAATGTTTGTGTAGTTATATTGCTCTGCACTCATTAAGAGGTTTTCATATCGTCTCTCCTAAGATAAAGATATATTAGAGTGCCACAACTTTGAGTTTATTCTGGGGTTATGGTGAGAGAGGAACGGAAAGAACAGGAATTTCTTTGAAGGAAATAGTATTTCTGAAAGGCGTATTTGTGCTAATAAAAATTAGGGTAAATTTCTTTAATTACCCTGGTTTAGTTAATTGACTAAGTGTACCCTTATTGTTTGAAAATTGATTGATGAGACTCTTATTGTTTCTGACAATTGTCTAAACATTACCAGGGCCGTTAAATATGGACGAAAAAATAAAATGACCGTTTTACCCTTAAATTCAACTTGATGGAGCCACCGGTGACAACGAAGATCTGAGAGAAGAAAAAAGATCTCTTCTATTGTTTCTAATCTAACTCAGGTCTGAGATAACCCCGATGACAGCCACCGGAGATATCAACAGTAGCAAAGATCTGAGATAAAAAACTAATCTGGAGATGAGCAGATATTTATAGGACAAAGGGAAAGAAAAGGTGGGATCTAAAATAATCTAAATCGTCGATGCTAAGAGTTGCAGTGGCGATGAGAGCCATCGGAGAGATCTCAAGACAAATACTAATCTGTGCGGGTATTTATAGGACAAAAGAAAAGAAAATATGAGATATGAGATAACCCAAATCACCGCTGTTAAGAATTGCAATGGGGATGATAGGGGAGGGTAAACAGGGAAGGTGAGATAACCCAAATCACCTTATATTCATTCATTTTTTTTATGTGGTCTTCTGAGAGTTTTGACATGGTTGTCTCGTCCATTCCATCCGTCAATTATGGCTTTTAGAGCACTGCTAAGAGCTAATTAGCGGTGATTTGGGAGAGTTGGTCTTCATTTATTTGTCTTTCCCCCCTTTGAGAACTGATACACTAAAAAATGCAGGGTGGTTGGAGTGCGAGTGGTATGGCGGCAGGAAGACAATCATTCACCATGTCAACTTCGCCGAAGATGAAATCCTTCACATCAACATCTGGTTTTTCTCAAGCTTATCATCAGACCATAATAGGGTAGGCCGTTGTGTTTGTTAGTGTTACTCTTATCGGAGGAGGGAGGGGGTTATATACTTGTATATTAGGAAGGGTGGTGCTACTAGTAGTTTGGTACTGGCTAGTGGCGACTGAGTATTGACACTAGGCAGGGCTGCGAAGGGAGAATTTGTTCCGCTGTACGTGGCAGGGATGATAATATTGTCAATAGGATTTTCAAAGACTTAATGATTTTCTAAAAGAAATCTCCTCCGACCATAGGTAAGAACAAGGTTCAAAGTATCATTTCGTATCGTTCCGGGACCCTTCCGATACGCCCTTATAGAGGGTGTATCGGGGATCTTACCGGTTCTGGGGATGGAGGGGTCCTAGACCAGCTCCCCTGAACCAGTTTTGAAAAAAAATTATATAAAAAAAAGTAAAAAAAAAAACAAGTATCGATATTTTAAACCTTGGGTAAGAGAGAAAAATAGAAAAAAGAAAGAAGAGACCGGAGGTATAAGGAGAAAAGGATTATCAATCAGAAGAAGGGGAGGAGGGAGAGATAATATTGGGCTTTAAAAGAAATTTAAACATCACGTGATCTCATGTGTATGTGAGTTTTAATGGAATATTAACGGATGCTAACATTAAGGTAAAGTTAGTCCATTGTCGAAAACAATAAAGGTAGCATATCAATTTTCAAACAGAGTACAGAACCATAAGGGGGATTTGAGAAATTTACCCTAAAAATTATTTGAACATTTGCGTTGGTCGAGATGCTGTGCGCAACATTCCGTCTCCGTGTCCACAGATCAATGGAAAAAGCATTGCCAACACTTTTCGCATGGGCAAATCATTAGACTTTGGCATCACAGGATAAATGAACGCATCATTGGATAAAGCCTAGCTTGCAATCACTTTTTCACAAAATGTAAGTGGGACTGAACCTTTTGGTGCTTATATTTATTTAATATGCTCGATCAAATGGAGATATACTGGAAGACCACTTTATCGCTCCTTTTCGTTAAATCATAGGCTCAGACGTTCGGTTCTTAATAATTCTTCGTATTGTTGAGACAACCATCTCGTTCTTTCTTTCATTTATTCGCAGTGGTGTCAGAAACAAATCCATGGATTTGTTCTGAAGAAACTACCAACGATAGCTTTTACCCCCAACAAGCCAATCTTTTTAGCTCATGTAAACCTATCTTCGACTTTCCAGATTTTTACCAATCGGACTGAAGTATCATTTTAGCTTTTAGTGGTCCATTGGCGATTCTGATTCTGATTCCACTACAGCCTACAGGTCTACAGTTGAAGCATTGACTCTTTACAAGTGAACTTAAAAGCTTCAGAGCATTCTCTCTCTCTCGCTCTCTCAAACAGGATTCTGCAAATGTCATCATCTGGTGTTAGGACAGAGAAGACTAAATATCTCAGTGAAGTTTGGGTAGCTTTTTCTTCCATCAAATGTGCAATTCAGATGGATTCAAAGATAATCTCCATGGATGATGGTTAGCACAGAAAGACTGGCTGTTGGGAATGTACACTTTTGAATCGATAAGAAAGGGGTGGTAAATTCTTCCATGTACACAGTACACCTTTGCCTCTTCTCTGAAATCTGAAGAACAGTGTACACCACACATGTAATAGGAACCTGTCACAGACAGAATGTTAGTGCAGGACAAGTACAGTAGATCTGGACTGCTTCTTATGGGGTGTTGTTTTTGCTGATCTGGCAGTTATTGTTTTGCAGAACAAAATCATACATATTGAAGAAAATCCCGTTTGTAGATCTAATTTCTAAGGAGTTCATACCAATTAAACGATCCAAAATTCCAATCTACAGCACAAAGATCAGAGCACATTAATCCACAAGTGTAAACACCAAATTGAAGCCCTAGAAGCATGACGAGCGCTAAAGAAAATCTCTCCCCAAGGTATAAAGCTTATAACATTGGTAGATTTAATCAGTATGTCTCCCCTTCAAAGTTTGTCGGTTATAAAAAACCTTTCAGCTGCACTATTTAAATTTTTACAATATGCAGTATTTTCTATTGACTATCTACATCATATTACACTCTTGATTAGTAAAAAGGGCAAATAAGGAGCACAAAACACATTAAATATTTCATATAAAGAGAAGTAAATTCATGTTATATACTAGAAATTGGATAAAGGAAAAAAGAACCATGAGGAACAAGTTATAAGGCATGTTTTTAGTAATTCTAAACAAGTGCCAGAAGGATGGATAATACCTTCTCTATCAATCCAGGCATCCAAAATGATTATCAATTTACCCCATCTGAAGCATGAATTTGAATCCTGCGATGAATTCTAAGGTTGCGATTCCATTAATGAAATTTGGAAGTTTGTATGTCAACAATGGCAGTACATATACGGGTAAATCAGCTAACAGAGATAATACACTGTGCCAAGACATGGTCATGAGATTTCAAAACAAAGAACATGCTAACATCAATTGTCATGGCTAAAATACAAACAGGAAGAGTCACTGAACAGAAAGATGCAAGTCTGGATAGAACAATAAACCTAACGGTGCAGTTACCATCTATGGCGAAGAAAATTTATGCAACTCCCTGCCAATGTCTTCAATGTTTCATATTTTGCATGGGAACTGACACCGTTCTTTGAGCACCACCTGAACTAGACAGAAACCAACACATATTATCAGAAACAACAAAATGAAACAGGGTAGGAAATGAAAGATCCCAGGTAGACCATGGGAATCAAAATAAGGGCATTACAGAACATGATTTATATGCAAGTGCTGGACCACCATTAGGGTGACATCTAGATCTAATAAACTCTTAGGCATACGAACCCAATCAAGTGAGGTTGAAAGAAAAACCAGTCAATCAACTTTAAGGATACCCAAAAGGATGACAACAAAAATCAGTTTTTTGGTCAATGAGTAATTTCGTAAGCAGGGTCATCAGGTAGTAATCAGATGATTTTTTTAGTAGGAAACTGTAACTTTCATTAAAAATATTAAAATAAAACATTACAACCCAAGCATTCCAAAGCTGGAATACTGACCCCGAATTCATAACCACTGTTATAAAGTAGCCCAGAAAAGTTCGCTCTTGTTTGATCCTTGTTTGGCTAGCATCAGCCAGGCCATTTGCTGTTCTTCTAACCCATTGGAAGTTTGCTTCAATTTCCCTTGTAGGGCACCAAACTTCTCTCATAGCTTGCCTGTGGTTCCAGCTTCCCAAACTTCCTGTTTTCATCCAGTCTATTACTAATCTTGAATCCCCTTCCACTTCAATCCGGTATAGTCCCATCTGTTTACATCAGTTGTAATTCAAGTAGTCCCATCTGTTTAGCCAGTCTCAAACCTTGCAGCAGTGCTTAAACCTCAGCTCTTAATGAATTGCCCACTCCTATAGACCCCAAAAAAAAGAGCCAAAGTTTCCCTTCCCCGTCTCTAAAGACTCCTCCTACACCTAAGGGCCCTGAGTTACCAAGAGAGCTGCCATCAAAATTGAACTTTATTTTTTGTTGAGTAGAGGCTGCCCAACTCTCTTGAATTGCTGGACTAGATCTTGAAGAGTTTACTACAGAATGCTGATAAAAAATTAAAAAAAAGAAAAAGAGTTTGCTACTGAATTCCAGCCCATGATAATGATGCCCAGATATGCATGGACATGGACACAGATATGGGTATGAGCATCCCATATAATATACTTGTACAATGTCTTCATATCTAGTTTTAAAGCTAAATGTCATTCCCCAAGACTTAGGTCTTGCCAAAGTTAAATAAATTTTAAACATGTCAGATATTTTTGTAATGTAATTGTTAATACATACCACTTCACATATTTTAGAAAAGTGTTATAGGGTACATCTAGAAGTATCCATACAGTATCTGGTATAGCATCCTTTAAGTATCAGATACGATGCTGGTATATTAGGCATTTACAGGTATCTGGGCATCATAGGTCAGAAGATATCAATACCTTATGTCATTATGCTGCCAGAAACCTTTAAGTTGCGGCTTTAATTGGCAGAGTACAGGATAGACGGAAGTCCAAAAGTTCTAAACTTATGAGATCCTAGATACCAAAGTGCAGAGAAGGAAAAAAAAAGGCAGAAAGTAACACTCCTACTTATTCCTAAAGAACAGTATGAACCCTATCAGCAATTCAGCATCACTTTCTTTCTGTGCAAAGGAAAACTAAATAGGATGTTCAAAGTATCGATACGATATGCCCCGTATCGGGTGTATCATATCGTATCTTTGGGCTTCCAATACACCTATTTAAAGGTGTTTTCAGGAAACTGATGTTTTTATTGATTACACAATACAAAAATGTGTAAAACTGAAATTTTGAAAAAAAAACAAAAATAAAATAAAAAGCATGGGGTAAAAAGAATTGATACACCCCTTCAGCTTACCAGGGTGTATCGATACTTTGAACCTCGGGTATATATATCTTGCATGCAAGCTAATACATGCTGGTTTTGGCAGACAATAACTGTTGTCAAGTTGTCAGTATTTCTTCAAAAAATAACTTCCATCAGCACTGCAATGAGGTGGAAATCCAGATGAGAATACCAGGACTTACACGTCATTTCTTTTCCTATAATGGAAAAATCAAGTTTGGTTGCCTCCAGTGGATATTGCAGCTCTTCTACACCGTCTTGTGGTACTGACTGGAGTTTTAGCAGGTGATGATGACAAATACCTAAGCTGATAGCTAACAAATACAGGTCCAAAGATGCCGAACTTCCCAGCACTACTACAAGCAACTTCTGCATCAGCACACCTCTTAAAGACCACCTGTGCACAGCTTGTTTCCCTTAGTACCTCTGTTTCTGATTCCTTCAAAGGCCCAAAGCGTTTAAATATCTTATTCAGACTCATTTCTGAAGGGATGGAATCAACCTCAGTAAAGTTTAGTATTAATGCTGTTGGGGAGAATTCTTCCTCATACTTTGCCTCCACAATTTCCAGTGGTTTGTCCATTGTTAATTCATAGAAGCCATCAGAACTCTGTTGTTTAGGGTCTAACATAGGGCTCAACTGAAGAGAATTTTCTGATTCAGCAATTAACATGTCACTCTTTGTGAGGTTTTCAATCTGAGCTCCTTTTCTCCTTCGGCCCTTCTTTGATGGTTGCTCCTCAGTACTAATATGAACAATCCTGTCAGTCCAATAAGAGTCTTTCACATCTTCATCAAAATCAAATGCTTCAGCAGAATCAGCATCAGAGGTAGGTGGTTCTTTATTTCTATCATCTGTTCTACCACTACTCACTTTCTCTGAGGACTTCTTGTGTTTTCCTGACCCACGCTTATAAATGATTACTGAATTCCTATAATCTGAAAAGAAACTAACTATTACAGTCAGAAAACTATATCCTTTTACAGGATCTCGTGCGGCCAAGAAAAGCTGAGATAGCATTTCACCTGTAGAAGGATATTCAGTTCGATTAACCCCTCCCTTTTTGGGCAACTCAGGAGTACGGGGAGAGACACTAATACCAATTCTATCAGGTTTCTCAGTGTTTTGACCTACTTTAACTGCACTTTTTCTAAGACTTTGACTGTTACACTTGAGGATCGGCGGTGACCCAGTCAATTTGCTTGCAACTCTGCGGATGCAGTCCCCAATTTTAAAAGATTGTTTATGATTTGGGGTCTCGGCAGCAGCAGCTCTGGGTGAGGAAAGATTTCTTTTCCCATTCTCTACCCTTAAATTGTCAGAAGGAGAGTCAAAGGCCTTACGTTTCTTGCCAGAAGACGACAGAGCCAACTTGGAGGCAGACTTCCTATCAGACTCATTTCCATCAATTACAACATTTGAAGAATCCTCCTTCCCATCCATCAACTCTGACAAGCTCCGTTCTTTCTTTCTATGATATGGCCTTTCCTGTGAAATGTTCCTGCGTTTACGAGAAGAGTTACCTTGACTTGACAGCTTTCCTTTTCCAGAAAACATGTTCTCTTCATCGTTAAAATAAACTGGAGTCAAATGCTGAGCCACTTCTTCAGAATGCTTGCTCTCCCCAGCAAGCAATGACTCTGTATCATTCTCCAACAGCCTTCCACACAACTGGAACTCAGGCAACCTGGTAAAGCCCTTTAAACGACAGAGAGCTAACAATTGAGCCTGAGCTATCACAAGTTCCAATCTATCAACTCCACCCAATGGGCTAAGAGCTAATGCTCTGATATACTCCACGAGTTTCTGAGGTTCAAAGGAGCTTGCACTCAGAAATCTATCCACACCACCTCTTTTGCTTGACTCTTCCCGAATCCCAGCATTTTCAATTATTTGTGATTTGATCTTTGCATATACTTCTTCCGATGTACAGGAACAGGCCATCCCCAACTCCACCCGTCTGGAAACCTCATCCAAAGCAGAGTTGACTGCAGTACGGAATGCCACTGAATTATTCTGCGTCTCCATTTCTGAGAAATGTGTGTGGAAGTGCTTCAATAATGATGCCTCATTCCAAGCAAAAGTTTGATCCCCAAAATAGGCTACCAGAAAGCTATCCTTTTTGCGATATTTCATTGCTTTCTCTGATGAATCTGAAGGATCAAATATCTGTCCAGGCCACCAGGGATGACTCTTCACTTTGCCCCAAACCAAGTCAGAAACAGAAAAAACACCATCTTCTTCTGGTGGTGAGTCATAAACAGTACAGTTATCCTCAATGGAGGTGTTTCCATGATTTAAACCTTGCTGATTTGGAGCAGTCTCCTCCATTTTTTCCTGTTGTTCAACACTTGTACCTTGTCCAGCAATCTCTATTTTTTGATTTTCATCCTGGATGCTAGAACCAACTACTACTTGAGTCTCAACTTCCACTTCCATTGCCTGATTTTCCATTACATGAGATCCCTGCTCAGAGAAAGGTTGGCAAACACTTTGGTCTTCGAGAGTAGAAATGCAGACACCAGCTAGCTGAGCCTCAGTTTGCAGGTTCCCCTCTGGCCAGGGTTCACCAGGGTCAGTAACTTGATCAAAATCAACTTCAACCTTACCATGCAGTGAAGCATCAGAAACTACTGCTTGAGATCCACCAACCTCAGAAAGTTTGCTTGGAGCAACTTGATCATCTGTATCTAGTAAGTTATCTTGCATAGAACTACTCTCTTCACAACTACCCGAGCTCCTCCCAGGGGGAGGTCTATTATCATCAGCACTCATAAAGGATTTAAAACTTACCAAAGGATCTGCATCTCTAACATTCTTCTCTTCTCTGTATCCCTCAAGCTCCAAGCTTGGATTTCTCTCCAGGTCGCTGTCTTTGGGTTCAAAAAAGTCTGGGTTTTTGACTACTGGCTCTGTCCCTTCATCCACGGACTGGATTTGTTCAACAGTCGGTTCCATCTTTCCCACTTCAGCATCAAAAGGACTACACTTACCATCTCCTTCTTGGTCAATGACTGCAGTTACAGATTTCATTTCTCTCTCTAAATCCTCCTTGACAGAATTAGTAGTACCCACCTTTTCATTCGAATTAACATTTTCTTCTTGATCAATGCCTGCATCTACAGATTTCATTTCTTTCTCCAAATCCTCATTGACCGGACCAGAGTGTCCCACCTCTTCATTCAAACTATCATCTGCCCCATGAATGTCCTTCCCATCAACACAAACATCAGAACCCATGGCCAATGCTTGTACCGCATTCCCTTCTTCGCCACAGACACCATGGCCGTTGAATTTTCCTTCGTGATGGGAGTCCTCGACCGGAACCTGACCGTCCGAGGGCTCCTCCGTTAGGGTTTCAACTTGGATTTTTTCAACAGTTGTTTCCGTTATAGTCTCCTTGAGCAAAATAACAGGAGATGCTGCTTCTTTCATATATTCTTCTGCCCCATGAGAGTTCGTTCCCTCGTGACGAGCCTCAGAGGCTTGAAGCAATGGCTCTACCAGATTCTCTCCTTCACCACAAGCTCCAAGCCCGTTGCTTCCTCCTTCGGGAGGAGGACCTTCGGCCTGTCCATTACCGTTAGAGTGATCTTCCGTTAGGGTTTCAACCACGGAGGCAGTGACAGTGAATGTAGATTCCGTAACCCTAGCGCTACAAATCTTGTCCTGCTCTGAGAGTGGGGCAGCGTCGGAGTTAAGGTCGAGGTTCTCCGAGGGGTCTTCATTCGTAGTAGGGTTAACAGACATGGCGAAACCCTAGTGATAGTAATAAAAAATTATAAAAGCAAATCATTTAGAAGCAGAAGCCCCAACCATGCATGTTTTGAAAAGAGAAACCCTAAATTTACACACACACGCACAGCGAACCGAGCCACCGAGGGAGCGTTAGAGAGAGAAATACCTGGTTGGGGTCGCGGAGCTGGCGCCTGAGACGAATCTTGAAGCTTTTATTTGTGCTGACGGCAATGGAGAAAAGAGGGAATAGAGATGAATTGAAGAAACAGAGACTATTTTTGAAAGTTCAAAAGTTCTGGATTAAATTTTCCGGAAATAAATAGGTACGATTTTTCGCATAGTAAACAACGGCTTTATGCAGCTCCTTCATTCTTCGACTTTTTGTGGGTCCCACGTTTTATGTTGACGAACCGGCTAATAAATAGTGTACAGTTGACGACAGAATGCAGGTGCAAAATAGGCTGATGTGGACTAAGCTCGTGGACAGTCAGAATTTGCCATGTCATCCTTATAAATCTTGGGAAATTGCTCAAATTTTCGATTAGTGCCCTTCACTTTGGGTCTAGTGACATTTTGGTCCTTAAATTTTAAAATGCAACAATTTAATACTTGAACTTTCAAAACCTGTCAATCTAATGCTTACCGTTAATTAGTTGTTAACCAGCTTTTAAATGGCATTTGAAAAATACACAAAGCCCTTCAAGTGTCATTTAATTTTTTTATCAACCATCTAAACGTTGACAAAAATTTAACAATCCCAAATCCTTACTTCTTCTATTCAATAAAGTTGGGGTCATCAGAATGGCCACTAAGAGATGACCCCAACTTTTTGGAATAGAAGAGGAAAGGATTTGAGATTGTTAATTTTCTGTCAACATTTAGATGGCTGATAAAGAAATTAGATTACTTAAATGGTATTTGTGTCTTTTTCAAATGTCATTTAACAATTCATTAATAACTGACTAATTGCAAGTATTAGATTGACACGTTTTAAAAGTCTAAATACTGAATTATCGCATTTTAAAATTCGGGGACCAAAATGACCTTAAACCAAAGTATAGGTATTAATTTGGAATTTTATGGCTTGGGATAAGCTTTTTTTTTGAGCTTTTTAACTGTTACTATTAATAATAATTGCTTTTAAAAATAAATAATCCAAAGGGAAACACTTCTAAGTAGTTCAAACTTCAAATTACAAAACCTGAAATCGAAGTGTTGGGCTTTTGGGCTTCAAAAGCACAATCTTAAAGCTTATCCATAAAAAACTCCCATCTAACTTTCCGATGTTGAAAAAAAATAGGGTAGGAAAAAGAAAAACAAAGGAAGGGATGAGAAGTGGTAACCAAAAAGCACTGTTTTTAAAATCGGATCGGACCGGACGATTGGACCAGAAAAATGGGAACCAGTCACTTGACCGGTTCTGTTTTTCTCCAAAACCGCTTTTCTTCCTAAAACTGTTGATTTTGGTCAGCAAACAGCTGAACCGACTAATTAACCGTTCGAACGGTTTTGATCATTTCCCAATTTTTTTAATTTTTAGTTTTTTTTTTGTTAAAACAAATCAGTCGTTCAAGTCGAACAATCAAATCGTTCAAATCGGTAACCGGACCCTGACCAATTCAATCACCAGTTCGATTTTAAAAACCATGCCAAAAAGCGAATTTATAGCGAAGATTGGTAAAATAGGCCTGCCATCATAAAAGTGGTAACCAATTACATGAATTTTTATCAAATTCATAGCGGACTATGATTGGTCTGGTATCATGTTTTTCGGGTATCGTAGGTTTTCCCAAACTTAAACATCATCTAGCATCTAGCATTCATGCTAAGTGCTCAGACCTCCCCTCTTTTCAAGATGACCAAAAAATCCCTCTATTATAGAAAAAGACAAATATACCCTTCGAATAACATCAATCTCCTTTACTACTCCTTGTAACAAGTTGACACCAATGAATTTGTTTTGGTTAATTATTTCATGAATAAAACTTATATGGTTGACCGTCAGCATCTTTCATTCCATTCTCTCGCATTTTTTGGCGATTGTATTATTTTTGACATAGATAATAGGTTGATGTTATATGTTTTGATGATGATAAACTTTATAAGAGTATTAACATTTTAAGTACAAGTGTGCAATTGTGTCAAATGATTCCATGAATTGAAATAAAATGTTGATAACTCTTTTGAGGAGTACAAATGATCTAAGAATAATAATTATGTCAAATGATGAATTGAATACTCTCTAATAAATAAAAATACTATCATAAAGAAGGAAAATAACGATGCATCAAATTTAGAGCTTCAACTTATATTTATCTCTTTTAGGCTTCGTTCGTTTTTTGGTAAGTTATTTACCCTGGTAAATGTAATTATTTGGGTAAGTTTTTCATGGGAAACACTTACCCAGGTAAGTACATTTACCCATGTTCTTTTATTTCTCAGGTAAATAAGGCAATGGCCATTTTAGACATAGAAATCCATCCCGTTCAAGTGTCGGCAACTTTCCCCCTATGTGAAAGTTATTTACCCACCTAGGAGATGGGTATCACTTTCTTGGGTAAGTGATACTCCGAAAAATAAACCTTCCATAGTCACCACATTAATTTGAAAAATGAACATGGGATTCTTGGTTAATGAGAACTAAAATCCTATTGACCAATTTTCCCCCCTCTCCAAATCCAAAAAAAGAACGCCCCCTTAGAATTTGATGTAATCAATAACATGATCCTCATGTTGGGCTCGATACAAACCTACCTTGGTTAAACCCAAACCTCAGTCTTATAGTTAGCATAAGAAATACGTTTGATTATTCTTAAATATTGAACTAGGTGAAAAGGACCAAATCGAGTTTTCTCAAAATTTGAGAACCTAAGGAGTCAACTCCTTAACCTTAGGAGTCAATTACTTTAGCTTTCCAAAGTTGTCTGCAACAAGCACTGGACTACTAGAGCAGTTGACAACAAGAGCTTAGAATTCGATTACTATAACTAAGCAATCGACTACTTAAGAAAGTAGGGTTGTTCATAACAAGACCCAAACCGACCAAACTGACCAACCCGGTCCGATCCAACCCGAGTTGGCCGGTTTTTCTTCAGCATCGGTCGGTTTCGGGTTACAAAAAAACATAAACCGATGGTTCGATTCAGTTTCGGTTTTCATGTGTGAAAATCGAAATCGAACTAACTTAGATATTTTATATATATATATTTCAGCTTTATTTAAAAAATATACATATTATATATAAAATTTATGATATGTAAAATATCAGTTTTAATCCATCAAATCATTTTGAATTTCTAAGCATCTAGCCTTTGCTTTCTTAGACTTGAATCCTTTATCGTTCACACTGAGAGAATCATTCACAAAACCGACCCAAACCAATTCAAACCAACCAGGTCGGGTCGGTTGGAAAAACGCTAGTAAACCGACCCAACCCGACCCATGAACAGCCCTATAAGAAAGCTAAATAGTCGACTACTCCATACAAAAAACTCTCACTTTATTTCTTTTTTGACCGTTTAAGCTATAACAATTTTTTCCTCGTTAAAAATAATCATATTGTTTCCTTGCAAATCCTAGTATAAAATCCTTGATAATGAGAAATAATTTGGGCAAGAGATGAAAGATATAAAGGGTTTAGCAAGAAAAACAAGAGGTAAACATTGGGCAAATAAATGGATAGATCTGTTGAGCTTTCCTTGAGCCGAAAAAGTGAGAAAATCCATTGGAGCTTAAACATATTGATTGAGAGAAGTTGAGATTTCGATGCAATGACAAGAAGCCCAATGGAACCCAAGTATTTATCGTGTTATCTCGTATACTAGGTTAGTTTTATTGTTATATCGGCTTGTTGAGAAGCACTGTTTGTGCATACATTGTTTATATTATATTTGTTCTTGTATAGTTAGTAGTTTGCTAGATGTGTGTTTCGAGATAGAACATGGTGAAGGGTTTGGAGAGGATCCATGAAATTTATTTAAGGGCATTGATTCTTTTAGGTGAGAAGGTGATGGCATGCTGTATGGTTTGGATAGCACTCTTAAGTTTGTTTATCCAGTTAAAGCTTTTATTAGCACCCAAGAAGTCTAACTAGTGTAAAAGTCTTATTGGCATTCGAGAAGTCCAATTGCTATAAAGGTTTTGCTAACACTTGAGAAGTCTAGCTGATAAGGTGGAAACTCTGAGGTGGTATGTATGGAGAGAGGACATGGACTGGATTTGGCATAACCTCTATAAAATTCGTATGCATTGATTGTTTACTTATTTAGTTGTTTTACATTTCTTAACTAACATTGTTTCATTACTTTGTTTTACAACACTACATATTATTGCTTTTATATAGTTATTGCATAACATTTGAAGTTTGAAAATATATTAGTTGGGGAGAAAATTTGTAGAATCCAACTCACCCCCTATTGGGTTAGACTAAATGGGCCAATGGTTTTAAAACTGAGCCAAACAACAAACCGGTCAGGGGTCTAGTTCCCGGGTTGAATGGCCCGATTATTTGAACCAAACAAACAGCCCATTCTGACAAAAAAAAAACAACGGCCAAACCGTTGAACTGTTCAAACGGTTTGACCGCCCAGGTCAGCGATTTACTGACCAAATCAATGATTTCTGACAAAATAATAGTTCTGGGGTAAAACGAAACCAATCACCTGATCTGACCATCCGGTTTAGTCCGGTTTCAAAAACCATGATACGAGCAACTGAATATGCAATGTCATAAACGTTACGCCAATGACTCTAAAAGCCATCTCTCCAATGTTTCAATTCGCTACACTCTTGCGATGTAGGAGTGGGGAGGATCCATTTTTCCAGACAATTATAGCAAACAATTGGTCAGTGTTGTTGCAAAATGTGTGCTAGCTGGGTTCCCCTTGCACAAGTAACCTGTTCTAATTCTATCCACTTTTGGAATGTCTGTTAAGAGATGACAATAATTGTCTAGAGTTTGACCAAAACCAGAATGGCAATCGCGTTTTTTTTGTTGAATATGGTTCAACTTCGTGGTGAAAAAACGTTGGTTCCTCTCTGTACGTTGGATCCTTGATGGTGGTGGTCATCTTCTTTTGCTTCTTATTCCCATCGCCAAAACAAAGGAGTTTAAAATATTTACTATTTAGATCTTTGTTAGTACCACGGTACCACCCCAAGACCCATCAATGTTGTCACTTCTAGTCTGCATGTACCTAGAAGATGATTGATATATGGTCGTAAGATCAAAATCCACCTCCAAGGTCTTTGATGCAATTAGTTGCAATGGTTGCACATGCAAACATGATTGAAATGAACATAAGGCTATATTTGGTTGCAATACAAATAAATTTGTACTGATGCAAAACTATGATAGTGCAAATGATTTAAGTGTAAATTCTGACATATCTTTATTTCAAATTTTTTAGTTTATTTTGTTTGATTGCAGTAAATTAAAACATGAAGTAGAATAGAATAAAACCCAAAACAAAATTAAACTAGAAGTTGCACTTTCTTCATTTGCACTCCCATGCATTTGTACTAGTGTGAATAAAATTGCACAGCAACCAAAACAAAATTAAATTAATTCATTGCATTAATCGACCAAAAAAGTTATATTGGTCCTATTCCGTGAACATAGAAATAGAGAAAAAAAGAAGCAACCAAGCAAAAATAAAATAGAAGTAGAGAAAAAATGTAGATAAAATAAAATAGAAAAAAGTCTTCTTCTCCCATTGCCATTGACGAACTCAATACCTTTTGATTGAATAAGTCATTATGAAGTTCTAATGTTTCATGGAGAGGGAATGAAAACAAGAATTGCAACAAGGAGATGGATAAAATAAATGGTTAGTTTTGGAAAGTTGGAAAAAAAAAAGACAATGTTAAATTGGTTTCAAAGGTGATATGAGCAGTGGTGGCGGAATCTCTATTAAGGATATTTTGTTGTGTGTGAGTCTTCTCTATGAGGGTAGGTCTTCATCCAATGAAAGTTAATCACAAAGAACTAGAGGGATCAAGAAAGGACAAAATTGGGATTTTGAAAAACATTTTACCACACGTGAGGTCACATGCAACTGAACCATTGACAAATTACTAACAAAGGGATGTTTTTTGTTGTCACTCAATATAGGTCTCAGTCCATTTTGAAGGGGAAGTCTTAGTATTTAGCATAAATTAAACTTATTTTCTTAGGAGGGGATATTTAGGTGGTGTTTGATAAATCTAAAAAGTTAAAAATATATTAGGTGGTGTTTGATAAATCTAAAAAGTTAAAAATATATTAAAAGTATCTAAAATCTAAAAAGAGGCATAAGTGCTTTTCTACTTTTTAAAGGCTCTAAATAGATGAGTTTGTTTGTGTTGGATCAACCCTTCAACATCTGAAATTCCCTAATTTTACCATTTTACCCATAAAACAGACTATTTGGTAATTTTGAGTCTAATTTGTATTATTTCATAAAAATAATTTATTAAATTTAAAATAATACTGAAAAATATGAATAAATTATAAAATAATAATATATATATATATATATATATATATATTAAAATAAGAATAAATTGAAAAATACATATAATTTTATAAATTATTAAGAGCTAAAATAATAATGAAAATAGTAATAAAGTTCATGAAGCAATGAACAGATATTTAATAATTAATAATGAACATAAATAAAAATATAAAAGTAACCAAATTATTAAAATAAGAATAAAATTGGAAAATACATATAAATTTATAGATTAAAAATAAATTATTAATAATAAAACATATGAAGTAATTAAAAAATATTTAATAATAAATAATAATTAATTTGGTGTACATTCGAATGTCGTTGTTGAAATAGGGCTGTTGTAACTACGGGAAGACGGGGGGAGAGAGAGAGTGAGAGGAAAATCGACTATTGTTGCTGAGAGTTGCAGCGAAAGTGGTGGGAAGACATGGGGAGAGAGAGATAAATCAAACAACTGAGAATGGAATCTACATTGCCAACGACTATAGGTTTTTACGAAATCTCCATCGCCATCTCCCTCAGAGTTCTCCATTTTCTCCCTTTGCTATCACAATTGTCCATTGTCATTGACCATTGTTGATCACTGGAATCGTTGGAATATAGGTTTTTTCGAGTTCTCCATCGCCGTTGATCGTTGGAATATAGATCGTCAGAAGAATGGAAACCTAGATTGTGAAGAGACTTGATTGTCGCGTCAAATTGGAGCTCAAGTGAGAATAAATCTGAGTTTAAAAAGGATGTCTATTCAAATATTACTAGGGGCATTTTAGACTTTTTGAACACATCTGAAACGCATTTGATCGTGTTCAATGATAATCCGCGGTCTAAACGTTTCAAATCTAAAATGCAATTTCATATCAACCTTCAGACACATACCCAAACACTTATGGAATTTCAAAAGTGTTTAGATACTTAAATCATTAAATTATGAGTGTTTAAGTCAAATTATGAGTGTTTAAGTCATTTATTATTATAGCCCCTTCAACTTGTAGTATACTACTTTCCATAACAAATGTTGTAGATAACTTTGAAAGGGCAAAATGATCTCTGTTCTACGATCTTTTTAGGGGGGGGGGGGGGTATTTGAAGGAATATTCCATGAAATAACTAATGGAATTCTCATAATAGGGTAAAATGTTGGAATTTATAAGTTTATGGGGTCTTATTGCAAGGCAAAGTTTGGGCACCGAGTGTCACTATGCTCTAAGTCTGGGGTGGATATCTATAATTTACCATTTCTAGTAGAGATAATTAGATAAATGAGATATAGTTCATTGATTTAGGAAAACAAAACAACTATAATCACAATATAGAAAGTCTCGGATTCAAAAGAACGAATGAAAAAGAAAAAAAAAATACTGAAAAAGCTAACCTAACCAGTTAATACCTAAGATTGCATTTGGATAAGCTTTAGGATTTGTGCTTTTAAACCATGCTTTGGGGCTTAAAAGTGGCAAGACTAAAAGAAATGCTTTAAATACCTCTTTTTTTTTTTAACCCAAATTTATTTTACATATCCATAAGCTAAAAAACACAACATATCCAGATAGATCCTAAAATTAAATTAACAATAAGTTTAAAATAAGTTATAGCAAAGGAAACCCCTTCCAGCTAAACCACTATCTCCTTCTCCTTCTCCCTCCCTCCCTCTATCTCTCTCTCTAACTATTTGTCACATAGAAACGGGGTGCGATGGACAACTAACAGAAGGGTAGTATTTGCCATATTATGTGATATACAGGCATTTTAATTAGGTTTCAAAACCTCACGAGTACTTAGATTAATTTAGGCTTAAAATTATTTATTGTAAAGAAGGGTAAATTGCTGAAATCTCCCCTTATGTTTTTGGTTGTTCGTTGAAACATTTCATGAAGTTTGGTAATTGCAAGCACCTCCCATGAATTTTCTGACATAGTTGCAAGTAGACCCTTTTTGTTATAATCCTCTAAAAAAATATTAAAATGTCAAAAATACCCATACATTTACATTTAATCAAAATGTTTATTTTCAAAAAAATTATCTCCTTATGAATTGCTAGCCTAAACCCTTCAATCTATCTTCTGAAATTGATTTATTTCCAATTTTCCCTTCAAAATATTTCTCTCCTTATGAATTGCTTAAATTCTCTATTTTTTCTTGTTTATAAAGTTTGTATTGTTTTTTTTTTGTAAAACCAGCCTCAACAGTAATTGTATGGGTATTTTGAACATTTTTTGTGCAACTTGTTAGAGGATTTTAATCATGGTTTTTAAAACAGAACCGGTCAGGGGTCCGGTTATCGGGTCGAACGGTCTGATGTTCGAACCGAACGCTTAACCCGTTTTGACAAAAAAAAGAAAAAAAATTAAAAAAAGGGTCAAAACATTCGAACGGTTCAAACGGCTAACCACCCGGTTCAACGATTCACTGACCAAAATCAACAGTTTTGGGGGGAAATCCGGTTTTTGAAGAACACCGAACCGATCACCTGACCGGTTCCTGAGTTTTCCAGTTCGACCGTCCGGTTTTGAAAATCATGATTATAATATAGGAACCTATTTGCAACTGTGTTACAAAAGATCAGAGGAATTAGTTGCAATTATTAAACTTAAAAGGAGAGATTTCAGCAACGATCAGAATTTTCAGGGGAGGTTTGAGCAATTTATTACCCTTTAACAGTGGAATTGGGAAATCTCTCTCTGTTTTTGGTATGAGACTTGGAACTCGTTTGTGGATTCTCAATATCGGCGTAGCCGCGTAGGAATTAATTAACTTGATGTGTAAAATTATGTCATATAAAGAGTAGTTGATGACACGCTAAAACTTTATATTGTTTTTGTTTTTTTTGTAATCCTTCCATTTGCTCTTTGTAAAAGGGAGGAGAGATTTCGATTCCGGTGGCAGTTGCAGAGCAAAAAACTGAAAACCGAGCGTTGGAAATGAACAAATAGACAGGCGCCTGGTTTCAGATCTGCAGATCTGCATTTCCAGGGAGAATTTCCTTTGTTCATGGAAAATGGATTTCGTCAACAAATTGCCGCCCATGGATTTTCTGCGTTCAGAAGAGATGACGCTCGTGCAGCTCATAATACCCGTGGAATCTGCTCACAGAGCTGTCTCCTACCTCGGGGAACTCGGTCTTCTCCAATTCACAGATGTAAGAGTCGAACCAGATCCGCCAGGTTTCTTCTATTTGATTCGCCTATGTTTGTCATGAAGCTGCTTTTGGGTAATTTATTAATTTGTTCCATTTAACGTAGAGTCGCAATGTTGCATTACCTCTCTTTGATGTTCAACTCTGCGGCAGTTTTTAGCTTCTATTGTTTATTGCATTAGTTGGTGTTCGGATATGGCGCTTGTCAAGCTCAAGCATCATAACTGTGACCATTCACTATTATCTTTTTTTTTTCCACGCAGAAAAATTACATGCTTGACTAATTTTGCATGTTTCATTCGTAACTTATATTGGAATTTCACATTTCATTTCCTTATTTCTGGATGACTGGTGAAGATGCAGATTATTTAGAAATTAGTTAGTTCTCAATGACATCTGTTGGAGACATTTTTTTTCCAAGATCTGCGCGTAAGGGTTTGCATGACGGAGTAATGTCAGAATAGTCAGGGAAACTTCAAACAAAGATATAAAACCAATGATGAAGTTAATGAAAACTGACTTGTATTACCCTCTCAAAAACAACTCATTAGGATCAAGTTAATGAAAACTGGCATGCATTACCTCCCAAAAAACAGCCCATTTGGCACACATTCTCTCTCCATTGCAATACTTAGAGCTAACACGATCCTGGTTTACAGGCACTTGATTGTTCTTTGATCCCTCATAGAATGGTATAGATGCTGACAGAATCTCAGCATTTTCCAATACAACTAATCTGGACAATTACGAGATGCAATATGGTTTGTATGAGTAACTTTGAAGGCAAGTGAAAACTGTATAAAGCAATGCTCCTAATAGATTGTGTCAGCATCAGATCAGTCAGGGAGTACAAATAATTGTCAATTTGATGGTTATATGTGAAGGTCAGTTATTGGATTTTCTTTCTTTTTCTTTTTCACCCAAATGGAGATGCAATTATGCAAACAGTTGCTGAAGCATGCCTTTGAGATTTAGCAGTACCAGCTAAGAGGCTAGATGCACTGATTCATTCAAAATAAAACCAAGGAAACATTTATAGACAACAATTAGTTGTGTCTCTCTTTCTCCCTAGATTCCTGGTGGATTTGGTCCTTCAAGACATTTGTTTTTTGGATCCCCTTAATGGTGTCATACTTGACCCAACTGGCCTAAACAACAAAATCTGGTTCGTTGAGACTAATCATCAACTAGCATTTTGGTGTGATTGAAGAAAGGGATGATACTTCTGTTACCAAGGCAAGAACTGTCCTCTCAAATAAGTTAAATCCTTTTCAACCGAGATGCAAATGGTTGGTTGGGGAATGTCTTAAGTAGTCAACAATTGGTAGACACATGCACTCACTAGTGGAACCTAGTGAGCATGCATGTTAACTACTTACTGACTTGAAGATCAATTTTGAGGAAAATTTGAATAATAATCCAGAATGTTGGTGGATGAGTCGGAGACAGGCTTGCATTGATGGTTCAAGGAATGTCCATATTTTAATTGTTGAAAAGTTATTAATTAACTTGTTGTAACAGTGGGTGAAAGAAGGGAACAGATTTTGAAAATGGTTTTAGGATATCACACTAACAATCTGATTCTCTACTCATTTGTTTGAACTTCTTCAAATCAGCGCTTGCCATCTCTCAGAATTTTCCTGAAGAGCATCAAAGCCTACAATTTAAAGAAAACCTTAATGACACTTTCAAAGAAGCCTGTATTGCATAAAATGTTCATAAATATAATATTGGGTGCTGGAGTATTCCATTTATCAAACACTCAAAGTTTCACTGGGATATTTTATGCACCTAATTCTCATCTTAAGCCAGAATTTGCAAAAAAAAGGGGATCTAAACTCTTTTATATCTATTTCAGCTATAAAGAATCATTCAGCCATGCTTTTTCTTGCACTATTTTCTCTTTGATCAATTGATCAATGCATATTTATTGAATTCCATGCTTATCTGTGAATTATTTTAATCAATATCCTCAATATCCTACTTTTTTCTTTATCACAGTTAAATGCTGACAAAAGTCCCTTTCAACGAACATTTGTTAATCAGGTATGCACTGCTCACATTTTTCCCTCCAGCACATTGAAAGTTTTCCATTTCACTTCTAAGAAATCATTAGTGTTTGCTTCAACTCAAATTTTGAGGGCTTCATTGATATGGCTGGATATATAGGTATTATCCAGAGTCAACTACCTGTTCTTAAACCATATTTTTACCTCTGTATTTTTTAGTTAGTTTGGTATTATTAATAAATAAATCTCTAATAAAGAGTTGGTGAATCCTGAAGAACTGTCTATGTACAATTTGGGATGCAAAGTGTGACCATAACTCAACCCGAAACTGAGAGTGATTACCTCTTTCATGCACAATAAGTTTATTGGGTTCAATTTCTTTATTTCTCTTTTGCATTATTTCTGCTATTTGACGAGCCATGGTTTTATCACTTTACCTTTGCCTAATTTCCTATGTCAAAGACTCACTGAAATCCTTCAATTTTGGCATCATTTGGATGATGATTTGTTTTCTAAGAAGAATAGGTAGAGCTATTTATAGACTGTAGAGTACACTGATGTGGACCCCACTGCTGTGGTCCCCACTATGTTTGTATGGCAGCATATTTTTTGTTAGTTATGTCAGTGTTAGTTGGTAGTTATTTCAGTTTGTTATTACAGCTTGTTATCTCAGCTTTATTATTAGTTTATTTGCCATGTAAGCAATAAGGACAATTCAGCCCTTTTACACTTAGTCAACATATATAAATATTAAGAGTGGGTCGGCAGATCTACTGATCAACCCTCTCTCTCTCTTTTCAAAATCTCTTCGTGTGCTTCTTCTCTTTTCTCTCTCTCTTCTTCTTCTCTTCTGAAATTTCTTCTTTCTTTTCTTTGAATTCAAGACTGATTGTAGTCTTGATCGACTACTTGGTATTAGAGCCGACCTAGGAGCTCTTATGTTAGTCTAATTAGATTGACTACATGAGAATTTCCTAGCTTTAGAAGTTTTTCAACAAAGAAGGAGGATCGACTGATTCTTGGAGGTTACTGGTAGTGTGCGGCTGCTACTAAGAAGATTGTAGAAGGCTGGAGATTAGGGTTTTGCAACAGGAAGAATCAGAAAAGGCTTCGGATCCTCAAGATTAGGGTTTTGCAACAGGCAGAAGGTGGCGACCAAATATTTTCTTTCATAAAGTAAGTTTTTTCTTGAGAATAACCTTGGAAAAAATCTTCTTGGTCTATTCTGAGAGGTGCGGCTGGAAAATCTGTTTTTTTTTTTTTCCTTTAGGGTTTTGAGAGAAAACCTATTCAGAATTGTTGTTGGTTTCAAATCAGATTTTGAACTGGTTTCATACAAAATTCTGTTTTCTTTGTTCTTTGGAAGACCTAGGCCGGCTGTTATTAGTTGTTTGGGTGTTTTTCTATTACAGTAGTTTAAATGGTTTTTTATTATTAATTCTTGACCAAGAATGGAGTTCAAGAATCAGGGAGAAGGTGTTTTTGGGACTAGCAATTCTGGTAACATGTCTAAGAATGCCTTTCAGATTACAACTGTGAACTTTGATGGATCAAACTACTTAGAATAGACTCAATAGGCCATGATGGCCATTGGGGGCAAAGGAAAACTCAACTACTTGTTGGGAGATGTGAAAGAACCAACTAAGGAAGACCAAACTTATACCACATGGGTTCAGGAGAACTATTTGGTTATGACATGGCTGTGCAACTCTATGCAACCACATATCAGCCGAAACTATTTGTGGGCAAAAACAGCCAAGGAAATCTGGGATGTCATGAAAGAGACTTATTCCCAACCCCTTGAAGTGTGAGGTTAACAACCTTAAGCAAGGAGAGAAACCAGTCTCGGTTTACTTCTCTACCTTGAAATCTTTGTGGTATGAAATTGACCACCTAGAAACACTTGAGTGGGAAAGTTAGAAGGATGCATAGACTCGTAGAAAGCAAGTTGAAACTAATAGGGTTTTTGAATTCCTAGCTAGTATGAATCTTGACTATGATATTGTGAGACAACAAATACTAACAAGGAATAGTGTGACCTTATCTCAAGCCTACCTACTCCTTAGTGCATAGTGAAGAGACTAGGAGAAAGGTTATGATGCAACATCAACCCTTCCCACCAGCCTTAGTAGTAGTTAAACCTAAGTCTGGGGGTGATACGGAGAGGGATATAAAGAAGGAAGATAAGCGGGATTTAGTGTGTGAACATTGCAAGAAACCTAAGCATACTAAAGACACATGTTGGAAGCTGCACCCTCATCTAGTCCCAACAAAACTGAGGAACAAAAGGGGTAATGCTCATATAGCTGTTAATACCGATTCTGCATCATCATCGGGCACAAAAGACACGCCTCTAGACACCCTATCTGCTGTCCGGGCTGCCCTAACTTAGTTGGAAAAGGAAGTTGAGAATTCAGCTCAATCATCTCAGCCACCATAAACTCCTCCCATATCAGTCTTTGCTCATTCAGGTACTTGGGCCTCAACTTACCATGCTTCAGCTCCAAGTAACACTGAAAATTGTTGGGTAATAGACTCAGGTGCATCTGACCATATGACTAGCTTGCCATCATTGTTCACTACCTACCACTTATCTTCTGGTAGAGATAAAGTGTCCATTGCTGATGGTTCCCTTGTTCCCATTTCTGGCAAGGGAGGCATCAAGTTGTCTAATACCACATTTCCTTATCTTCAGTTCTGCATATTTCTAAGCTTGATACTAACTTGTTTTCAGTCAGTAGTATTACAAAACATCAGAATTGTTCAGTAACTTTTTTCCCTGACCGATGTGTTTTTTAGGACTTGGAGACAAGGAAGGTGATTGAGACTGGCCGTGAGACGAATGGGATCTATCTGCTTGGAAAGAGTTCTCATTGGGAAGATCATGAAGATAAGAAGTCTTTTGTTTCTCAGTCTGTTAGTCAGGTTATGCTTTGGCATAATCGGTTGGGTCATTTATCCTTTCGGTCTTTGAAGAGCTTGTTTCCAAATTTGTTTGAGTCTGTTCAGATGTCAAATTTGAGATKTGAGAGTTGTGAGCTTGCAAAGCATTGTAGAACATCTTATTCCTTGAGTAATAAAAGAAGTAGTAGTTCTTTTGATATTGTGCATACCGATGTTTGGGGCCTGTATCACATCACTCCTATGGGGGGATATAGATATTTCTTGTTGTTTGTTGATGAATATACCCACTTTTCTTGGGTTTACCTTATGCGTTCTCGAGATGAGGTTCCTGCTTTGACCCAGATCTTTCATCAGGTGATTTTAACCCAGTTTGGGGTCAAAATCAAAATCTTCAGATCCGATAATGCGAAAGAATACTTTACCAACCCATTAGCCTCTTATTTGCTTGATCATGGGATTATTCACCAGAGTACTTGTCCTTATACACCGCAGTAGAATGGGGTTGCTGAGAGGAAGATTAGGCACATATTGGAGGTGGCTAGAAGCATTATGTTTAACTCCAATGTGCCTATTCGTTTATGGGGAGATGCTATTCTTACAACAGTGTATCTCATTAATCGAGTTCCTTCACGGGTTCTTGACATGAAGCCTCCATTTACCATTCTATACCCTTATAAAGAATTGTTTACTGTTCCCCTTAAAACCTTTGGTTGCACTTGCTTTGTTCAAATTCTTGGACTTCATCGTTCCAAATTTGATCCTAAGGCCTCCAAATGTATTTTTCTCGGTTATGCACAAACTCAAAAGGGTTATTGCTGCTATGACCCTACTTCTGGGAGGAGATTTGTCTCGACGGATGTTACTTTCTTTGAAGAGGTACCCTATTACCCTAGGGTTTCTCCTCAGGGGGAGAGTAGTGAGAGTGGGGTTAAYTCATCAGAAGTTCCTTTACTTGTTCCATTGAGTGATGAGGGATGTAATGGGGAGGGTTGTCAGAGGTGTCAGGATTTACGAGTCTATCACAGGCGGTGGAGGCAGGTTGATTTCGGTCATCAGCAGTCCAGGCCAGCCCCAGTTCCTTCTGCGGATCCAGATCTAGGTACCACAGTCCCTTTATCAGATCCAGGTCCCACTGAGATACCTTCCACTATTGCTACTTTACCTCCTTTGGATGACCTTGACCTCCCCATTGCAGTCTGTAAAGGCAAACAACGTTGCACCAGTGAGGAGAAACAAAAGCAAACTCAAGTCTTGCTGCCTTCCCCACCTGACCCTCCTCCATTTCGTGTCTTTCGGAGACAACGTTATAGAAGTCAAGGCCAATAGAGTTCAATAGCCAAGGTACAACCTGAAACTACGTAACCAATGCCATCGAACTGTCAGGAGCTGAATCAATGCCCTCACCCAAGTACTATTATCCCTGTTGAAACTCCTGAACCTATTGATATTAACACTTCAAATTGTGATCTTGACCTTCCTATTGCAAAAAGGAAGGGGGTCAGATCATGCACCATACACCACCCCATGGCTCAATTTTTATCCTATGAAAATGTCTCATCTTCATTTCGTGCTTTCCTATCTGAAATTGATAATGTCCTAGTCCCTAAAGTGTCACAGATGCTCTTCTTTCTCCTAAGTGGATAGAGGCTATGAAGGAAGAAATCAATGCCCTTCACAAAAATGGCACATGGGAGCTGGTGGATCTTCCCGAGGGAAAGGAACCTGTAGGGTGCAAGTGGGTGTTCTCTGTGAAATACAAGGCAGACGTCACAGTTGAGAGATATAAAGCTAGATTGGTTGCGAAGGGTTTTACACAGGTGTATGGGGTTGACTATGTTGAGACTTTTGCACTTGTGGCAAAAATGAATTCTATCCGGGTTCTTATATCTTTGGTGGCAATTCTTGATTGGGAGCTTCATCAACTAGACATTACAAACGCCTTCTTGAATGGGGATTTGGAAGAGGAAGTATACATGACTCAACCTCCTGGTTTCTGTGCTAAGGGTAAAGAGTAGAAAGTATGCAAATTAAAGAAGTCCTTATACGGCTTAAAACAATCACCAAGGGCTTGGTTTAGCAGATTTCACCAGGCAGTTCAACAAATGGGGTTTAGGCAATGCCAATCTGATCACA